ACCTGGTGGTTTGCCCAGCAATGGGACATCCAAGAGCTTCGCACTGCATGGCCATTCCTCACTAAAGATGCCCAAAAGTACATCGCCTGCTTTGAAACTGTAGCACAGTGGGTTCTGCTACAAATGGCCTACGAAGCCACAGGATGCTCCAGCCTGAGGTTCGTCTGCACCTCCAAGGGCCTCAACGTCACGGAGAACTTCCCGCTCTCCGCCAACCCGACGGACGGCAACGTGGCCGTGCGCGTGGAGAACACGGCCCCCACGGGCTTCGCGATGCTGGAGATGAGCGCCAACGGGGGCGCGGGCTTCGTGCGGCTGGAGACGCCGTCGGCGGGCGGCTGCACGCTCTACGCGCCCAACCAGGAGATCTGGCTGCAGAACCGCACGAGCGGCTCCGCGCCCCTGGTGGTGGAGACGGACTCGGACGTCACGGTCAACTACGGCTTCAACAACCTCAGCGACGAGAGGGTGAAGACGAACATCGCGGACGCGGACCTGGAGGCGCTGCAGGCCATCTTCGACGGCGCCCACCCGAAGACCTACGACCGCACCGACATCGAGCACTACAACCGCCTGGGCTTCCTGGCCCAGGACTTCCTCGGGGCGGGGGTGACGGGGAAGACGTACAGGGACGGAGAGGAGCTGCTGACGCTCGACTACAGCAGTGTCGCCTCACGCAGCGACAACAGCCCTACTCAAGCCTCCATCAACAAACTGTTCACAACGGCCTTCCCGCTTAGCTTCTTTCTGGAGAAAGTGGCCTCCTGGGCCCACGCATGCGGCCTAGAATTGGAAATCGGCCATATTCCCGGAGGCAAGAACACCGATGCGGATGATCTTAGCCGCAACCGCCTAGAGAAGTTCTCCCGCTCTGGCCACGCTCGGAGATTTGAAGTGCACCTTTCGCACCTGCACAAATCGACCCACGAGGTCACCCTAGCCTCTGCCGAAGTGCCCTGGAGCCAAGGCCTCCTGGACATAGCGTCCCCTGCGCAAGCCTAGACAGACCACACGCGGTGGGGGTTGCCTGGCCTCAATTTCACTGGTCTGCCCCGGGCCGCTGAAGTGGGGGTATGCCGCATATCAGGACCGGTGCCTCTCGCCTGAGGGGCCCCCCGGCCTGATTGCCAAACTCGCCCAGAGCAGCACCCGTGAAAAAGGCCGGCGCGTGCAGGGTAGGACGTTGTTGCCCCTAGTCCCCCTCCCGTAGGGTCTTTGGGATCTAGAGGGCTCGCACTACCCGCTCTTCCCCCCAACTAGGGTTAGGTCTTGCAGTGGGCGTTGTCTGAACGCACTGGGTTTTTGTTTCCCAGGTGTTTTGACACGCACGAATCATGACCACCCATGTCTGCCCATGCCCAGCTGACTCCTGGCTCAGCTGGCCCTGACCTAACCCGAGTTGGGGCCGTGCATAGTGTGTGAGCATTTTTTCGCCCGCCCGCCCTTGCCCTGCTCACTCAACGCCAAACTCTATGCACTCTCCACAATAGCCAACAGCTTTCTGCCTCCCAAAGTGGAGTAGCCCCACACACAGCCGCACTACTGCCTCCCAAAGAGGAGTCGCCCGCGCCTAGCCGCCATAAACCCTCCAAAGGGGGCGTATGCCGCATATCAGGACCGGTGCCTCTCGCCTGAGGGGCCCCCCGGCCTGATTGCCAAACTCGCCCAGAGCAGCACCCGTGAAAAAGGCCGGCGCGTGCAGGGTAGGACGTTGTTGCCCCTAGTCCCCCTCCCGTAGGGTCTTTGGGATCTAGAGGGCTCGCACTACCCGCTCTTCCCCCCAACTAGGGTTAGGTCTTGCAGTGGGCGTTGTCTGAACAAACAACAATATTGGAATTACGAGGATACGAATACAAGAGTAAGGGCCTCATTTAAAGATTACTAAAAGGTCCTGTAAAATAAACCAGTTTTGGAGATTCATGCGTTCGTTCTCCTTTGACTTTTTTGTAATCTTATCTTCGCGGGAATCTTCTAAAGGCACGTCAATTATATAATCCCGTTTTCACAAAAAGAATTAGATGAGCGGTGTGAACGAGAGAATACGACGTAGCGTTTTGTTTTTCATCGTTTCATTATCTTAATGCACACCTTTAATATTATAAATAATACGCTTATCACCACGAATATATACTAATGGTGTTTATGGGGCGTTCATTCAGTTCATTCACCGTCACCTGCGACAATCGCTGCAATTCCGGAAAGGAGCAGACTTCGCCATCGAGCTCCTCGTCGTAGTCATGGTTGTACGACAGTGCTGTTGAACTAGCCATGGCTACCTTTCTCCGCCTGGTCAGCTCCTGGGTAGGAGCTTCCGGTTTTATCTGGAGTCACAGAGTAAACCGGGGGACCTCCCCCGGTCACCTTTGTTGACACAGAGCACACCGGGTATGTCCCAGGCAAGCTCCCACGTTGAGATGTAACCTGGGCGTGACTGACTTCCCTAACGTACAGTCAGCAAGGCGGACAGGAGTCTCTGTTTTCACTCCAGGTGCCCTGAAGAGTGGTATTCGCTAGACTTTGAGCATCGGGCAACATGCGTCAGCATTGGAGTGTGGCACACGCAGCAGATGTCAAATCTTCGCCCACCCGCTAGCCCCGCCCCCCCAGCCTGGAACATGCAGAAATGCCGTTCTGACTGCATTTTTTCAGCACCTAGAGCCTGCAAGCAGCCCGAAATGTTGCATGTCATAGTATTTCATTGCTTGTTCGAAATTTCTTCTCATGTGTATCAATTTTTCTTGATTGGGCCTTTATTGATGTTTCACCCTTCAGAAAGCGTGTAAGGTTTCAGTTTTTTAAGGCTTGCTGAGTTTTAGGGGGGCAGTTTAGGGCCTGCAGGCATATCCATGCTGCAAATACTGTTTTTGGAGAAATATCGCCGAATTGCGGTGCCTTCCTTTGTACATCGTTTTTTGCCCGTAGCTCAAATGCCCAAAAGCCACAGTCTTTGCCGGTTCTCCTGTTGCATTTATCATGCCACTTCGTGTTGATTTGCTTATCTACGCTTTCGAGTTTTCCAGCGCAGCCTTGCTTGAGAGACTGTGCTTCACCTGGCTTGAGAATTGCCTTGTGCTATTCTTAGCTTTTCGTTTGTCTCCGGGTTGCGACGCGCTCTGAAGTGGGGACCGGAAAGATTCCTGGTGCGCCCGAGTGAGCGCCTGCTGCTGCATCTCTTGTTCTGGTTGGGTGCTTAGCATAGATATATATAGTTCATGGAACAGGTGCTATAGTGTCGGGTTTTCGGATATGTTCTTCTGCCCAGGTGCATTTTGCTTTCGCTATTCATGTTGGTTTCCCATTCAGAAACCCCATTTGCTTTGCCTTCTTCATGTCGGATGCCCTTGTGCACTTGCTTTCGCTTGAGTATATTTCAATGTCTTGTAAACGTCTACCTACCTGAGGCCTGCTTTGCCCAAAATATTTTCCTGCAGTGCAACCTGTGCCAGAAGAGCAAGAGCCAGCGTCTTCGGTGTCCACATCCTCCAGCACAACTTGTGTCAAGTTTGACATATTCGATTCCAACCTCATCTCAGTTGACATCTACATTTAGCAGCACCAACAGTGCAGAATCGATTGCCCACATTTCCAGCACATTGAGCAGTACAGCGTCGGCTGTATGCACATTCGCAGCCCTTCTAAGTTGCCCCATCATCCGCTTCCAACGCGACAAGCAGCAGCACGACCACATCTCCCTGCAGGGCAACACGCTTTACAACTCCGATTCCTCATATTCCACCACTATTGCATATTCCTCCACTACGCCGAGCCCTCCAGCGTCAGTCTTCTACGTCCACATTCTCCAGCACAAATAAGGTCCACGGCTTCAACTTCATCAACATCAAGCAGTTCGATCGCTTCAACACCCACACATGTGCATGCCCAAAGAAATGACATCTTCTTCACCATGCACGTGCTTGGGTGCCAATGTTTGCCCCTACACAGGGTCCGTCGCGCACTTTTTTTGGCCTCGAGTTTTGCTTCTCACCCCTTCCCCCCGGGCGGCCGTTGCATTTTCAGCCCCGGGGCTTAAGTTCAAACATGTCACGCGATGGGTGGATGGCGGAGTTTGCATTCTCATACCGTCCCGCAATTTAAAGTTGGCCAACGCTTCAATGCCACTTTCGGGAACAACACCATGCAACATCCCACCCCACTGGGGTATATTTGTGTGTGTGTGGGAACGCGGTGTGGACACTAAGAAGTTTGGTCCAACACAGCAGGGGTCCAAAGAGGGCTGTCAGGGTGATGAGGCGTTCGGCCAACGAGACGCCTTCATTATCTGGCTCCAATTCGTGTGACAGCACCTGTGTCTAAACCTAGCTTCAACACCCGAAGCGCAAACATTCATATACCATTCCATCCACGTCTTCTACACCATCAACATCTGCTTTCTCTACCACGCTTTCGCTTCCTGTTTACTTCCACTTCTTGTGCCTGAAATCCATTTCCGATTCGGTTTCTCTTGTGCACCCCATCTGCCCTGCAGTCTCGGTTGAACTTGCAGCCTTGTTTGCATTTCTGGGCCCCTGGTCTTGATAGAGCACATATATTCGCATGAGATCAACGCTGTGTTTTTGGTTTTACCAACACACGTGTTATTTCCGATCGCGGACCTAACGTGTCGTTTTATTGCAAAGAAGCACCGCGAAACCCGTTGCAAGATGAATTTGCGCATGCATCTTTGGCGTTGCAAGTCTTTTCAAAGATTCGGGAGTGAATAATTTCAATTTCCTGAGACATGTTGAGGCTGATCCAACACAGCTGTCAACTCAACCGATTTTTGACTCTTGCATTTTATGGCAAACCGTCCCATCCAGCCCATCACTTCAGGATTTTTCTACAGCCCATCGTTTAGTTCTGGGATGGTGGGATTGCCTTCGCAATATTCTGCATGAAACATACTTGTTCATGTTTGGGTAGACATGCGATTCCGAGCGACATAAATTGTCGCCATGCCGCAGCACGGGGCCTCGACGACCTAGCTGTAACGTGCTTGGGATATGCCATCGTTTGCCGAAAAGGAGGAGCACGCACTTGGTCAGGTTTTTGTTTTAAAGCTGCTTTGCGCGGATTTACTTTTTTTTTTCATGTATGCTAGTGGAGATCATGTCATCATGCAGGTACAGGAGGCATCAAGCCAATTGGGGCCATTGCCAATGCAGGACCAAGACCAAGACCGCACTTTGCTGCTGGATGGTGCCGACGTTTCTTCCACAGCTTCCAGGCACGTGTGCGGTTTTGGAAGCTTGAAACTGCCAATGGGCGCCTTTATAGTCTTGGCATGTGGCTTTGACATCGTGTTGCGAACGCGAGCTGGTCTGTAATGTGTGACATATGTGAAGGAGCTATCGGAGATATTTGCCATGGTGGCTTGGTGGCTTTGCTGCCATGGTGGTTGCTTGGACCCGACAGCATGCTATTGTTTTTGCTAGCTTGTGTGCGTGTCACGATGTCATTCGCTTGCTTGGGACGTTTCCCAAGGCTGCAAAAACCATTGTTAAGAACTACTCTGACCATCTCTGACCATAATTTTGGTGCAGGTTGTGATGGTGTTGGCGCAGACCAGCGGCGTCGTGCGCAGAAAGGCCTGGCCTGGTGTCGCTTCTCACATATTCATGTAGGCAGATGCGCTGGAACTCTGATCTCATCCAGTTTCTAATGGTCACACGTTAGGTTGTTGCAGGTGTGAGCAGGACAGCATGCACACAGATGGCCTTTTTTGGGGCGTTGACGGGAGGTTGAAGCATGAGCCCGTGTCAGCGTTGGCCAGGTCTTCTCCACCACGCATGGGGTATCGTCGGCAAGTTTTGACAAGCCGGACGGAACAACGAAAGGGTGAAATGTACGTGAAACTCCTAAACATGCCGTGGCTTAAGCTGGCCGACTTGGCTTCAAAGAGCATGTCTGCACAAACCAGTTTGTGACATTTAGCCAGCACGACTGACCTTGTGCCTCCTGCTAGTTGCTTCACGTTCACTTGGCTGTCTAAGCTGCAGGCTGTTGTTGCGCACAGTCCTTTGCATCTTATTACACGATTGCCAACTTGCAGACATGCCAGGTGGGGCCATCAACACTTGTTGCCGATGAAGCCATTCCTGTGACCTGCCGGTAGAGCTGGACTTTTGTGAATATGGTGGCGTCAAGTATTTTGACGTGTATCACATGCTTGAGAGGATAGAGCTCGGACCTGTGTGTGTTAAGGGCCTCAGAGCTCTGGGAGAGGACTGGCATCGCGCAGAATTCATGTCGAAAGTCCGAGAAAGACCCGTTCAAAGCGCGCCATTGGCTTGTCTACATGCGGCTTGCAGATTCTCTCCACGTGTCGACAGGATTCCAAACCTTCGGTGTTGCCAAAGTTGCCAAAGGCAAAGGCCCCTGCCTGGGTTTTGGATGGTCTTGACAGTCTCAATGTCACAAGGCTATTGAGGTTGAAGCGTCAAGACGTGTGACAGCGCTGTATCTCTTGAGTTTTTGTCTCCTTCTCTCACAATGTATTCCCGTCTCTTCCTGCTTCTCTGTAGCCATTTGGTAGCCGCGGAGCCGCAGCATCCACCAATTCACTTGCAGGAGCATGAAATCCAATATCAATGAGCTTACAAATACAAACTATACTCTGGATGTACATATCTTCATACAGGAACGTACATACATATATGTGCGAGAACCTTTATTTATTATGTTTTGGGTGGCTTTGCTGCTAACTCAGGAAGGCTTCCTTTCATTCTTGGAATCTTTGGGACTTCGAAATTTAAACAATCGACAATCCTAGGGCCCATAAACGCCTTCCTTAGGCCTTCATTTTTGTGTCCCCAGGATGTTTAGAATGTTTAATCCCCAAATCCAAGAAAAATCTAACGTAACGCCTCCCAACATCACCAAACAATTTGAAAATTATGAATCTTTTGAATGATGGAGATTCTTAAGGTTTTAGTTATCATCAACAAAGCCAACTGTTTACAATCTAAAAGCCCTACGGCCCTACGTGTTCCAACGCAAAGCTTTCCTTAGGCCGTGGTGTTGAGATTTTGGATTTTCTAGAGTTGTTACAAGGAGCCGTCTTGAGGCCTTCAGTGCTTTTTTGTTTTGTTCCAATTTTTCGCTCGTCCAAGAAGCCTCAAGAAGACCAAAACAACCTTCCTTATGCCTTCATTTTTCAGGGCTTTTCACATCTTTTGAGAACCTGGAGATCCCAGGACCGTCCTGAGGCCTTCGTGTTTAGATTTTTGAGATTTCTGGTGGCTTTTAACAATCCAAAATACAGAAGCAGTTTAAAAGCGTTAGGCCTTCATGTTTGTTTTTGTATTTATTCTGAAGCTCAAGTTTGTCGTTTCAATCAAATCTGTAATTCTTGGGGTCCCAGAGCCTTGCTCAAAAATGACGGAATGAAAGAATGAAAGAACGAAAGAATGAGAGAATGAACGAATGAAAGAATGAATGAATTAAAGAATGAAAGAATGAAAGACTGAAAGAATGAAAGAATGAAAGAATGAGAAGAATGAGAAGAATGAGAAGAATGAGAAGAATGAGAAGAATGAGAAGAATGTAAGAATGAAAGAATGTAAGAATGAAAGAATGAAAGAAGGAAAGAAGGAATGAAGGAATGAAGGAATGAAGGAATGAAGGAATGAAGGAATGAAGGAAGAAAGAATTGAAACAATGAAAGAGAAAATGAAAGAACGAAAGAGCGACAAACGAAAGAACGTAATACTGAAGAATGATAGAAATACAAACATCAAGAACAAAGAAAGAACGAAGGAAAGAAAGAACACATACCCGGCCACGGGACATCTCTTCATACATAAGAGGAGCCCGGATGTTTCTTTATTTATTTAGTTCAGCAGACTAGGGCTCTATTCCGATGCGAAGCTTGAGACAAGTTCTCATGATCAAGGTGAACAGTTGATTGTAGAACGTTCTTTTTCTTTCTGGTAAGTCATTTAAAAGGAAGGAAACAAAAGGGCAAATTCTATGTTTGGGTACGACGAATAAGCACTGTTGTTGATTCATATTTTTGCCATTTTCTACTCAAAGGAAGCGGGAACCTTCTCGTCCAGAGATCTTGTTGAAGTTTGATAAGAGAGGTACATCACCACTGCATCTTCCTGGTTTACGTCGAAACGAAAGAGACATGTCTTACAGGGTTTGTTACTGCGAGCATCACCTTATACCCATCCCACAAAAGGTAGAGAGCCCCCGCCTGGGACCTTGGTCAACCCAAACATGAACCCCCCATCGCCAAATCCCAAGGCCTTCTATCCCAAAGCCTCAAACCCCAAAAGTCCTACCCTGCAGTATATATCCCAAACTCAGAACCACAAGTCCCAGAATCTTGAAGCCCAAGGGGCCCCAAGCCCTCATGAAGCCTAATCCATTCGGGCAATTCCTACAAAGTAGGGAGCAACCCGAACCCCCCAAATTCCATATGAATGCGCGGAACAAAAATGGGTCAAACCATCAGTTTGGCGCAAACTTGTTTTATTTTGGGTCAAAAACCCGAACCGATTGGTTGCGAAAAGCCCTCAATGCAACCTTTCGTTTTCCTTTCTGGCAGGTTCAGGGTTCAAGGTGCAGTGCCCAAGATCGTAAATCACCCAAAGGTTGAAGATTCCTAGGAAATTCTTGGGAGACATGATTGATTTCCATCTCGGGCGCCTTTCGCATATTGAGACTCTGACAACCCAAGAAGCCTACAACAAAGATTGAAGGCATTGCCCAAGAGCTTCCCAGAAATCTTGGCAGTTTCAGTGTTCAAATTCTTGAAGATTCCGGGGAGACTCTTGAGATATTGCCACCCCGGGCGCCTGTAGCGTAGAAAACTTCCGACCGAGGACAACCCAAGACGCAAAATCAATCACACTGCCCAAGAATTTTCAATCTTTAGTCAGACTGGCAAGAAATGTTGGTATATGGGAGAAAACCAATGGGAGCCGCAATAGGCGGCAGTTTTTTGGAATCTATCAGGCCGAGACCACCCCTGCGCCGGCGAAGCAGCCGCCGCAGCATCTCAGAGCCAGGGCAGATGTGCAGGTAGAAGATGGGCGTGTGTGTGTGTGGTTAATGAACTTCACGACTACTCAATGCTACGCATGTTGTATGCTGTGCGAACACTTGTGTGCTTTGCGAACAAGCTGGCAGGCGCCGAAGGCGCCCGTCACGAACGCGTCAAAGACGGTGTGCAAGACCGCTGAGCCTGGAGATGAGTGCTACAAGGCAAGTCCGCCAGCATGGAAGAAGTACTGTAGAACTGTAGAAGTTACAGGCGAGCCATAGCAACAAGCCCAGCCAGATCCGATACAAGTCGAAACAATGGTCGATTCAAATGCCACAGGAGGCTTGTTTTGCTGATGCAAGAAGCCATACTTGGAGAAAGCGTGAAATCCTGGAGAATTTCAGAGCGTGCTTGTGTCTTTCAGTCCCTTCTGGGGCTTGTCTCGGATAGGGCACTGCTTGCATAGAGCGTGCGCCACGTTGGTGGCATACTTCTTGGTGCTTTGCTTGCGACGAACATCAACTCACCAAACTTGTTTTTAAAGTCATAGCAGGTCATCATTGAATCATTCAGTGTATGAATCGTTACAGTTAAGTAGGTAGCTTGTGGAACGAGCTGTGGCAACAAGCGCTGTAGGCAGTTCTCTGGGCGAAGTGGATGCTCGGCTTGAGATGCTCCAGGTGTCCTTACGAAGCCCTTTAAGACCCACTAGCATGAGGATAGATTTGGATAAAGCTTCAAGATGGCTTTGATTGATGTGTTTTTGACACTGCTCAGGATAGGTCTTGTTGAACATCCTGGTTGGTATCAGGGGCTGGACCGAAGAACTGCAAACAGGCGTGCCATACAGGACCGCGGGTTGATACTTGCATTGGGTGTGGCAAAGTGAACCTGACATTTCTGGGTGCGATCAGCTTACTGTGTCTGTGTGCTGGATGCTTCCGCACGAATGCCAAGTCTCCAAGTGTTCCTTCCTGAGAGGAGTGGCTCGCGAGCAAGGGTCAAGGCTGGGCAGCCAGCGTGCAGAGCAAGATGCTAGCTGTCTCGGGCGTGTCCGGAGTGTTCCTGATTCTGCAGGTGGTTGTGAGAAGCCATGTGAAGGTGGATATCCACTGCCGCCGCTGGCAGGGCTTGGAAAAGTAAGTGACTACATCAGTAGACAGCATGATCAGTTCTTTCCAAGATGCAATGCGACTGACTAAGTAAGACTGACATGTGAACTGCGTGGCCGTGCTCCTGCGCAACAAGTCATGTGCTGTCTCAGGGTTTGCTTCGGACATGATACATGAAACGGCTGCGTTACATGGCAGGACAAGGGCTCGCCGTCGTTGTTTTGCTTCTCCGTGGCGAGAAAGGGGCCCGCCACCTTTCTGCCAAGAACGCTTCAGTTTGTGCATGGCCCCAAGCCGATCCTTACTGGCTGGATTGGCTAACATCATTATCCCCCTGGCCTCCTCCTCCCATTCCCCCGCGGCAACATGTTGGGGTTGGCGAGTCGATTGTCCATGAATCTCGCAGGGCTTTCAAGGCTTGGAGATGTTGTTGGGATTTGTTTGGGGGTGGCTGAGTTGAATGAATCATTCGTGGGTTCTTCATTGCTTGTCAGTATCGATCGGCTGACCTTCCTCGCCCTCATCTCACACATTCTTTTCTAGGCTGCAACGTTCCAACATAGCGCACGGCTTAATCCTTTCGATGCCGCAACGGAATGTTTAAATTCTGTTGAGCTCATTCTCCACGAAGTTCGGGCCCTTAGGGCCTGAGGCCCCATCTTGGGCTCAAAGCACTTTTGGGTCTTGAGAATGCCTGCACCAGTCTGCTTTCCATGCAAACGATTGCCCTCCGTCATTGTCTCAGGAAATGGACACGATGTACATGACACAGCAGATACGATCTGGGATTTTTGGCTGTGACGGTTTTGCAGTCGCACGGCTGCAGAATGGACAGCACGAATGAAGAGGAAGCACAGACAGATCAGACAGCATTTCCGGAATGTCTGAAAGGTCTACAGTGACAGCAGTGTCGATATCGATGGGTTCAAGACGAGACTCTGCAAAGCCAGTTGCATTCGTTGTCAAAGAGGGTCTAGGGAACCAATTTCAAGATCCTGTATTGAGACGATGTTTTCGTGTTCTGAATGGTGGTCTTGGCTGTTGGGGTGGTGTTGTTGCTTTCTCATGAGTTAGATTTGGTTTGAGTTTTTTTTGAGTCGAGTACGCTCCACTCCCCTTACATTTTACCCTCTTGCTGAGAGCTTTGTGCCATACAATCTCTGCTGAACTTATTAGCTTGCCATTTATGTTTGAACACGAATCCCTGCTCAGACAGCCCACAAGTATCTCGTATACAATCGCAAATCAAGTCTTCATACTTCATACTGATTTGTTAGGGTAGGGCTGCTCGTCCACCACTTGCAGCAAGTCTGGCTGCCTCCGTTTCCATGGGCAACTGCCAGTACGCCCAGTACGCGTGTTTCCTTCAGCACCATCATTGAAGCGCAGCCCTCCGTGAACTCTCTGTGTGTGTGCACTGTCCGCTGCAAGTCGCAACCGAGGAGATTGATTCCATCGACTTATGCTGGAGTGAGCAAAGACGGATACGCTGCCAACTCTCAGGTGTTCATGAAGACCTGGATGGCGCTCTTGCATCACAGCTGCACATGCTGCACAAACTGTTGCAGAAGCCGCACAATGCTGCACCGGCGTGCAAATCGGGAGGTGCGAGGCCTCCCATCCCGCTCCAAGGACTGGCACTGAGTGGTACAAGTACGACTTCATTGCCAAGGTTGCAGACGGTTGTAGACGGTTGCAAATAAGAGAATGACAAGTCGCAAGTCAACACAAGAGTGCGCTTGGGAGACTTTGAAGCTGATGTCCATGTCAGGTTGATCCTGACTGCGTGTTCTTCCCGTCACGGTTACGGGGTCATGTAGCCAACTATGTTAACCAGAATGTGTTCTTCCTGATGCTTGTCTCAATTGACGTGTGAGCCAAGCTTATGGTTAGCTGGAAGATGCTGGAAGCTTTAGCAGGCAAGCTCGTCGTGCTCATCCCTGCCGAAGCACTTGACCAAATCGTGCTAAACAGACCATAAAGGGGAAAACAATGTCGGTTTAGATTGATCGAGCAGCCATCCTGCAGATCCTGCTTCAGACTCAGGAACTGCGGCAAATACATTCCGGAGCCTTTGCTGTTTCAGACGTTTTCCTTCAGCCGATATCAGGACCTCACCACCCACCCCCCCCCAACACGAGCGTCCCCCCGCTGACCTTTTAGCTTTTGAGGGTTTGGTGTTAATGAGACGTACTCGTTGTGTGTTCACAAAGCCTCATGGTACGGAGCTTAGGTCACGATGTACGGCGCCCTAGAGGTCTACTCGAAACAAGCGCTGGGTGCATACTTGTCACAGCACGCCAGGCACGGCAGCAGTATGCATGGAAGTCATTGGTAGCACCATGTCGCACTGCGTTTGGGTTTCGGGCAGAGTTCCCAGGGCAATGCCTACCCAGGGGCCGACTCCTGCATACTGTTCCGCATCTGTCCCGCCGATTGCAAACCCCCTGCAGTTGTGAGCAGAAATTCCCGTATGATGAGTGGGGTGAAGACAAGTACATGACCAATTGCCTCGAAAGCCTCGGAAGTAGAGCAGCCCCTTGGAAAGCAAGCCGTTTATGGGCTAGCCTGCGATTGGTCGACGCCTGCATTGCATATTCAAACGTGGCTATCATTTTCTGTTGTGGAAAAGCCTAGGTTGTGGACTTCGGCAACTTCTTGCACGATGAACGCTGTTGGGGCGTTGATTGTGGAAACAAGACCCTCGGCTCCCACGTATTTGTTGACACTGTGGGATGCGTTGTGGCCAAAGCTGTTACGAAACTGCAGGCGGCTCAGAGTGAGTTTCGGGCCTTGGGGCTTTCAAGGCTGTACTGTTATGGGCTTGGATCTTGCGGGGCTTCTTATGGGTCCTTACGAAATCACACCATCCTCAAGCTCAGCTGGTTTTTTTGGGTGTTCCATCTTGACAAGCCCTGGTAGGTCAGACCATGTCAGACCGATAACAGGGGAGGGGTCCCTGTGGAACGATTGGAAGCTTACGACCGACTGAATATTCTTGCTTGGCCGAGTTTCGTTGTAGTCGAGCTCTGCGGCGGTGTTTTTCCATGTTAAGATGCTAAGCCATTAAGCCACACAATGCCACAATTTCTGCAGCATGAGGAAGGCTGTGGCATTCCATGCCTTCAAGCAAGTCGACAAATGGTACAACTGCTGGCTTCTGTCGCAGAATGATGGGTACTGATCACTTTTCTGTGCCTCCGCGCTGCAGTCCTGCTACGCCGTTGTAGACTTCATTGTCGATTGCGCAGCTGTGGAAGGACAGCAAAGAGGCACTTCTTAGCGCTCATCGGAATGATGCTTGCTTTCGTGTGTACGTGCGTCATGGCCGTGCACGCAGCCGACATTGCAATGAGCGAAACCATAGATTGTACATGCCATCAGGGAACGTAGCCGAAACGGCCGTTCTCCATCTCTTTTCCAGCTTCGTTGTCGGCTTCTCATGCTTTTCCAAATCCCATCCTCCTTGAAGGGTTCTAGAGCCATGCTTGTGTGTACTTTGAACTTCTACAGGCTAATGCTGAAAAACAGACAAGGTACCAGCCCCGGCTGTAGCAACAACGGCCAATGAGCTGACGTTGACAAGACATATGGAGGCGAAGCTTCCACACGCCGAGATAACTCTAAGCATCTTTGTGCAAACTTGGTAAACACCATCTGAAAGACGCATAAAGACGCCAACGCTGTTGTCCATGCTGTTGTCCGGACGTGTGGAATGGCATGGACTGACCTTTGTTGGGTCCAGGCGCAGCCTCGAGTTGACAGATGTTGACAGGGGTCCAGCGTGGCTGTGAGTTTTTTCCAGCCTACCCGGGCCTACCCTCACGGCATCTCCTACCGTGCTTTTGTTTACTATGTTTTACTCAGCCATGTCTGGATATCAAGTCTGTGGTGGCCATGGAAACAGAGTCATTTGAGCTTGTGCGAGGAGGCTGTTCCGCTGTTCCTGTTTTCCATGGCTGTGAAGGCCCGTGTGCCTCGTGTGCCTTCAGCATGGCAAGACCTGTCAACTGGAACATCTGAAACCATGCAGTTCTGAGGCTTCATCAGGCCCTGGACAGGTTTCTGCAACTTGCATTCTCCAAAGCTGAGTGCAAGCTGGCGATTGTCAGCTCTTAAGCTCAGGAGCCAGCTCAGCGTGAAAAGAACGACTTGCCTCTTTCGCTCGGATGTTGGCGCCTGCTATTGATTCGCAATTCTTTGGGTTGTCGGGATTTATCGGGCCAGCGGCTTGGCTCCTGACAAGATAGCTGGTGCCATTAACGCAGCATCACATGATCAAACCGCAAAGTTCAACTGTTATTCATGCAAAGAACGAGATACAACGAGCTTCTTGGAACACTGCCATGACCAGACGTGCGATGGTGCGGACCCGGGCCAGCTACCAGGCATGGCACCATTCGATTGTGTAGACACGAGCACTACCTATTCAGGCCTGGTGGCCCAAAGCCCCCCCATAGCTTTTTTGAGAAATGAGGCAAGGGTCGAATCCTTCTCCAAAATCCCACTAGAACTAGTTTGTTCACTGTCTCGCCCTTTCCACACATCCGGGTTCTTCGGTTCATAAAAGGTTTTTTTGCGTCGATGTTGATTTACTTCTGTGCTCTTCCAAGTCTGCATGTTTCTGAATCCCACTATTCCCATTTTTTCGTTCGACTCCAACTCCGCATTAATGGCTCTAAAGAGAAGTCGCATTCATTTTCTTTGCAGGCAGGCAGTTTCGGGGCAGATTGGCCGATGGCATAAGAAATCAGGCGATTAAGTAGAGTTGCTCATCGAGGTGAAGCAGACACTAAGAGCCCGGCCACGCAAGGCTGCGGTGGCCTGAATGGGAGGAACCGGGAGAGATGACGGAGATGACATTCTCCTTAGAGGCTTCGTGAGTGCAGCATTGGTCGCATGTCATGTCAAGTTCTGTGTCAAATAAAGATGTCAAAGGTTGAGTCTGCAACTGCGAAGGCCGTTGAAGCGGAGCTACAAAGCTTGCAAGCTGAAGAGCAGGACTGAGCGGCCAACGCCGCCAACTTGAGGTGCCCGTAGTATCCCATAGTCACATAGCGCCAACGTTTCTGCAACAGTTGTGAGAGGATTTGGATTTGGAGCTTGACAAGTTGTACAGCAAAGCGGCGCACCTGTGTTCAAGCCTTGGTGCAGAAAGTATTGTTCAGTGGTCCTGAAAAGAGCTGTGATGTTGTCTAGATGCCCGGCATCCTCAGCAGCCTCAGCAGATGCTTTTGCAGTTGCTTTGTTGTCTTGAAGATAGGTCGGAGAAGTAACCGTCAATCATAGGCGTCGATAGACCCCTATACAGACCCCATTGTTTCTTGGACAGGTACCTATGCTGTCGACCTTGTGTCGGAATATCAGACCCCTATTCACAGGCCCTGTCGGCTGTCCTTTAGACCCCTGTACACAGGGTCTTCCGTTTTTCCATAGACCCCTATGCATAGACTCTGTCCCTATACACTACCCCCCCTGCCACATAGACCCCTATCCATCTTCGATAGGCTCCAATTACCCTCAGAATAGACCCTATCCAGAAAGCCACAGACCCCTATCGAGGTACATTCTTATGTAAATGCATGCCTTGGATGCGCAGCTGTCAACACTTCTTGTCAACAATATATTCTTAACAACCTTCTTTTTGGGTTTAGACTTTCGGGGCTTTTAGGGTTTAGGGTTTTTGAGGCTCAGGGTTTTTCGGGGATTGTTGGCGGCTCAGGGGTTTTTGGGGTTAGGGGTTTTAGGGTTTAGGGTCTAGGGTGTCTTCAGGGGTTTTAAGGGTCTAGGGTGTTTGGGGTTTCAGTTTAGCGGTTTTGAGGGTTTAGGGCTCAGGGGTTTCAGGGTTCAGGGTTGAGGGTTTTCGGGTTTGGGGTTTAGCGGTTTTAGGGTTTAGGTCTAGGGGGGTTTAAATTTTAGGGTTTAGGGGTTTTCAGGATTTAGGGTTTTGGTTTTTTGTTTCGGTTTGAAGGGTTTAGGGTTTTTGGATGGTTTAGGGTTTAGGGGCTTTAGGGTTTAGGGTTCTTTTAAGGGTATAGGCCTTACATGTTTTCAGGGAGTTTAGGGTTTTTTAGGTTTAGGTAGGGGGTATGAGGGTTTAGGGTTCAGGGGTTTTTGGGGTTTTAGGGTTTAGGGCTTCAAAGGCTCTAGGGTTGCGGGTTTAGGCATTTCTAGGGGTTTTAGGGCTGAGGGGACTTTAGGGTTTAGGGTTTAGGGGTTTGAAAGGTTTAGGGTTTGGGGGTTTTTGGGTTTAGGGTTTAGGTGTTTTTTATGGTTGATGGCTAAGGTGTTTTTAGGGTTTAGGGTTTTTTTCGGTTTAGAGTTTAGGCGTTTTTTAAGGTTTGGGTTTTTTCGGTGTAGGGCTCAGGAGTTTTAAGGGTTTCTGGGTTTTGCGGGTTTAGGGTTAGGGTTTAGGTTTCGGGTCTGTTAGGGTTTAAGGTTTAGGGTTTTAGGGTCTGGGTTTAGGGGTTTTTAGGGTTTTGGGCTCAGGGGTTTTGGACATAGGGACGTATCTGACGCGGATCGGGGTCTATCACGGCTTAAACAGCGGGGAGGGGGGGGGTGTGGCGGGGGGGGGCGCAGCCCGCCCCCCCCTTCATTTGCAAACACAACACACGCATGATGGGTTCGAAAAGAATAAAAGCAGGGGGGTTGGGGGGGGAGCGCAGCCACCCCCCATTGGCAACGCCATGCTCGCATGATGGGTTTGAAACAAAAAGCCTGAAGCCAGCTTGCACAGCTTAACAAGCGAAGAGGTTGGGGGGGTCGCAGCTTTTCCGTCCATTTGCAAACCAATGCTCGCATGACAGACTCATGTGTGTGCTTTTGAAGCAAGCTTGCACAGCTTTCAGAAAGGGCGGGGATGTTGAGGGTTAGGGTTTAGGGGTATGTAGGGTTTAGGGTTCAGGAGTTTTTGGAGTTTAGGCCAGAGGTTTAGTATTTCGGGTGTTGAGGGTTTCGAGTTTAAGTTTAGGTGTTGTTCGGGTGCACAGATTTCTCGACGCAGGGCCTAGGGCTTTTTAGGGTTTAGGGGTCTTTCTTTCTAGGGGCTTTCAGGGTTTAGGGTTTAGGGGTTTATAGGGTTTATGGCTAAAGTATTTGTGGTCGTCGTCGTCGTCGTCGTCGTCGTCGTCGTCGTCGTCGTCGTGGTCGTGGTCGTGGTCGTTGTCGTGGTCGTGGTCGTGGTCGTGGTCGTGGTCGTGGTCGTCGTTGTGGTCGTCGTCGTCGTCAACGTCGTCGTCGTCGTCGTCGTCGTCGTCGTCGTCGTCGTCGTCGTCGTCGTCGTCGTCGTCGTGGTCGTCATCGTCGTCGTCGTCGTCGTCGTGGTCGTGGTCGTGGTCGTGGTCGTGGTCGTGGTCGTGGTCGTGGTCGTGGTCGTGGTCGTCGTGGTCGTGGTCGTGGTCGTGGTCGTGGTCGTGGTCGTGGTTGTCGTCGTGGTCGTGGTAGTCGCCGTAGTCGTTGTAGTCGTTGTAGTCGTCGTAGTCGTAGTAGTCGTAGTTGCAGTCGTAGTAGCCGTAGTCGTAGTCGTAGTCGTAGCCGTAGCCGTAGCTGTAGTCGTAGTCGTAGTTGTATTCGTAGTCGTAGTCGTAGTTGTAGTCGTAGTCGTAGTCGTCGTAGTAATTAGTAGTAGTCGTCGTCATCATCGTAGTAGTAGTATTCGTCGTCGTCAGTATGTCAGAACCCCCCCCTGCATAGGACCCTATCCTTCCATGGCAGGTGCCTATGTACAGGTACTTCTCGGTTTTCGGTAGACCCCAGAAGATAGGGGTCCATCCTCCTCAGGGTAAACGGATCGACCACAACCTTGTGCCGGACTCCCTGCAAATCACGTCCAACAACTTGCTCGATGCATTTTGCAGACAGTCTTCAAAAGAAATTGTTATCGAGAATGTGTTTCTTTCGGGAAGGCACTCATGATTCTTGGGAGGTTGCCCTCTTGCTGAGACTACGGCTTGTGTGATCTGTGTTTGGATGAGGTTCTGCATGTGCTGTTGTATTTTTCACGTCCTAGTCAGTGTTCATGTTTCAGATTGTTTCAGAAATCTCGCTGCATTTTCCGCCTCTTGGTCCTTGGTCTTGCTCGGGGAGTTGAATCCTGTAGTCTCGGGCCAAAGGCCAAAGCGTGCGCCTCTTCCGTGTATTCCAGGCCAAAGTGAAAGCCGGAGCCTGGCATTTCTGGGTGAGCAGCACAAGCAGGCTCGAAGTGTCCTAGGTGGTGCTGAGATGTTTAACTTATATAAGCTGGCGCTGCTTCGAAAGTTTATCGGGCTTTCGCCACGGACCCAACCTGAATTTGCGATGCGGGATCCCGTCAGTTTTGTCGGTCGTCTTCCCGTAAGTGGGGTCGTTCGTACGTTCCGCGTGGCCAAACGTGAGGTTATGTGCCGACCTGAGTGCACACCTCCTGCAGTCGTTCGCTTTCAATCAACGCGTGGAAGAGCGTAACGTCACAACGTCCTACAAACCTTGGCGCTCGGCTTCAATTGAACCCGAGTTTGGAGGGGTTAAAGATCTTTGTAGCCTGTGAAGTTTGCGTTTCCTCTTGCAACCCTCTGCAGTAGTACCTGTTGTGCATTTTAGGCAAAAACATTTTGTTAATTTTGTGTCCCCCGGCTATGACGTCATGGACTCTTGGCTTGGGGAGCAGCAGTACCTCAACATCTTCGTCATTTCATTGAACATATAATTTTTGATTCTCCTTCTGACCCTTTGGGTCGGCTCCTGCTGATGCCTTCCTTTTGCCTCAGGCCTTATCATCTTCTCTTCTTTTCCCGCGAAGACTGCTAGGAGCGGTGTCAGCGTGTAGGTCGGCACGGTGACCACGCATTGGCCTCCGGCCTCTGCCCCTCTCGATCCCCGTCCAAGGGACCCAGTGACCTGGACCTTGGCCCGGACTTACCAATAGGAGGCTTTCTGCTCTTGCTCCTCGCTTCAATCCTGCAACTCCGCCCAATTGAATACAAACATCTCAGACCTCAGGATTCGACCACTGTCGCTTCATTTGGCAAGGGATCTTCGCTCCCAGTGCCGCGGCCCGGCGCAGTTGCTCTCTACATGCAGATTCTTTGCGTGCCTGTCACAGCACACTGCACGAAGCGTCTACAACGATTCAAGGACACCAACATTGCCTCTGGCCTAGAGGCGGCCGGCCAGGTTCATGTGCGCTGGAATCGACGCTAATGAAACCCTAAACTCTCACCCCCTAAAGCAAAAATCCAGCACCACACCACAGAGGGGGGGGTCGGCGGGATTCTGCACAGAGCAAGGGAGGCGGGGGCAGCGGCCAAAAACCCAAACGCCACAAAGTGGCGAGGTGGGGCGGGCGGGACTCTAACTCTAAAACCCCCAAATCCAGTACCCTGCACTGTTCCGGGCATCGTTCTTTCACTCCCCCAGAAAAATTTTTGTACATACATATATGCTTTTTTCTATCTATTTATCTATGCATATTAATATTTGTATTACACTACACACTCACGACACACGTGCGAGATTCGCATGTTTTGAGGGCTTAAAGGTTTATGGGGTTCATTTAGGGTTCGGTTTAGGTTTTAGGATTTTGGCGTGTTAAGGTTTGAGGGGTGAAGGGGGGCATCTCGTAATTGTCGGCATTTTTGGAATGCGGAATGCGGGAGGGCCCGGTGTTTTTTTCTTTCCTAACGTTGGCCCTGGCTTGTTTGCCTTGGTAACGTTGGCCCCAGGCCTTCTGGTCATCTGGTCCCCTGGTCCTGTGTCCCGTGGTTCTCAGGTCCCCTGGTCCTTTGGTCCTCTCCTCTGGTCCCGCGGTCCTCTGGTCCCGTGGTCCTCTGGTTCCGTGGTCCTCTGGTCCCGCGGTCCTTGGGTCCCGCGGTCCTTGGGTCCCGCGGTCCTTTGGTCCTCTGTCCCGTGGTCTCCCGGTACCGCGGTCATTTGATTGTATCAATGTAATATGTTTTCGTAGTAATAGTATACTAAGGCATGTAGTATGGTCCCGCGTTTCCCGGTCCCGCAATCAGATTTTGGTTGTAATAATTTCTGTAGTATAACGTAGTATCATATAATACGTGAAAATATATAGACAACATACATATATATCATATATACAAAAATGTCTTACAAGAATATATACATATAATATAATACCATATAACTATTTTTTTGTACATACTAAATATGCATTGTGTTTTGTTTATTCTACGTAGAATAAACTATTACATATAGGTTATGAAAACATATTATAGATTAATAACTCTCTATATATATATAAATAAATAAATATCTATTTATTCATTTCTTTCTTTATTATTAGATATTGAATAAATATACAATATAGACAGCACATTATTTTTTTTTGGGGGGGGTGGGGGTGGGGCGGGCAAGCTTGCTTCAACGCGTATGAATCCTTCCAAACCCATGATGCGAGCATTGTGTTTGCAAATGGGGGGGGCTGCGCCTCCCCAACCCCCCGCTGTTCTTTAACCGGGCAAGCTTGCTTTAAAGCATATGAATCCCTTCCAAACCCATGATTCGAGCAATGTCTTTGCAAAATAGACATCAACACACAAGAAGGTACAATCATGTACAAGAATATACAGGAATACAACATATTTACAATAATATGCAATCATATACAATAATATACAATAATATACAATAATATACAATAAATACAATATACAATAATATACAATAATATACAATAACATACATAATATACAATAATATACAATAATATACAATAATATACAATAATATACAATAATATACAACTATTTACAAAAATACAGCTATAGACCAGAAGATACAGTAATATACAATAAAAAACAAATAACAATAATATACAGCAAAATACAACAATATACAACAATATACAATAATATACAATAATATACAGTAATATACAAGAATATACACTAATATATAACAATACACAACAATTTACAATATTTCACAGTCATATCCAATAATATACAGTAACATAGAATACTATACAACAACATACAACAATATACAAGAACTGAGAATGGTATGCAAGAATATTGCGAATATACATGAATTTTCAATAATATGCAACCATATGCACTAATGTACAATAATGTACAGGAAATTTCAAGACAATGCAATAATATTCAATAATACACAGCAATATGCAATATCTACAATAATATACAAGAGCATGCAACAATTTACAACATCATGCAATACTATACAATAATATACAATATTTTGCAATAATATTTAGTAATATACAACAACATACAGGAATGGACAATATTTTGCAAGAATATACGGTAAGCTATAAGAAGATACTACCATAAAGAAAATACAACAATATTCCATAATATACAAGATTTTTGAATAATTCACGACAACATGCAATAATATGCAAAACATTCAAGAATACGCAACAACACGCGCTAATAAGCAAAAATATCCATCAGAATAGCTTACAATATTATACAATAAGTTTTAATGGTATACAACAATATACGAAAATATACAATAATATACAAAACATTCAATAAAGTGCAACAATCAAGAAGACTATGCAAGAATGAAGTAATTTTAACGCTACGCGACCCGCCTCGGCCCGGCCCAGCGCATCCGCGTGAGCATGGTGATTCCGCAGCGCCCAAGTCGCTGGACCCCAAGCAATAAGGGTTGGGTTGAGGGTTGAGGGTTGAGGGTTCCGGGTTTATGGTTTATGGTTTGGGGGTTTGGGGTTGAGGGTTAGTTTAGGGCTCAAGGTTCACGCTTTGGGGTTGAGGGTTTTTTTGGGTTTAGGGTTCGGCCGAGCCCCCCTTCAGGTTTAAGGCGACTCTTCGGCAGGGTGGGGGAGGGGGGAGTGGGGGGGGTGGGGTGGGGGGGGGGAGGGGGGGGGGGAGGGGGGGGGAGGGGGGGTGGGGGGAGGGGGGGAGGGGGTGGTGGGCCCTTGGCCTGGCCCTGGCCGTGGCCCTGGGGGCCCTGCTGGGAGGGGCTTCAACTGCCTCTGGTCCTGGCGAACCGTCCGCTTGCGGACCCCGGTTTCCCAGGGGGTACCCATTTGAGGCCAAAAAAAGGGGTCCAAAAAAAACCTTTTGGGTGTGGGGGAGGGGGTGCTTGTTCTGACAACCTATACACCTCCGGCCCGAGGCCTCGGCGGATATACAAGAATGGTGAATAATATCAATAGCATTCAAGAATATGCAATCATGTACAATAGTGCATTAATAGAATAGCATAAACATGTTGTGTTTTTCATCATTTAGAGCCTGCAAGCAGGTGCAATGCTGCAATCTACAGCATTTCAAGCTTTGTAATACGCAGAAATGCTGTGTTTTTAGGCGTTTAGGGCACCCGGAAATGCTGCATTTCATAGCATTTAGAGCCAGGAATTGCTTGGCCAACGTTAGCAAGGACCACGAGCCAGGGCCAACGTTAGGAAAAAAAAACCTCCGCCCGGAATGCGACACGAGGGTCCAAAAGCGATAACACGGTTACGGGAATGGTGAACCTGGGGGTGAGGGGTGCGGGAATTTGGGATCATATGTATGGGAACCTCAGTCATATGTATGGTGCAGCGTCGCTGTCCCCCTGTGGGGGTGGGCTGCTTTCGGATTTGGGGCTTAAGATTTTCAAGGTTGCTGGTTTTCTTCTAGGATTTTTTGTAGGACTTTTCGGTTTTGTTTAGGGTTGTGGGTGTTAGGGTTCAGGATTTTAGGGTGTAGGGTTGTGGAGATTGAGTTTGCGGGAGGTTTCCTTTTTGTTTGGGAAGGGGGGGGGGTGGTGGGCATCGCAAGGAGAGTCCAGCTCTGAAAAGCTCGCTTTGCACCGTCGGGGATTGTTGGGGGGTGATTGTGCAAATACAAATGCCCATGCGAACAATTCTTGGTGCTCGCTGCTCACTGATTCAGCAGGTGCCAACTGCCATCCGGAAACTCCAGGAGACTCTACAGCAAACGTGTGGACCTCCTTGCGAGCAAACATGAGCAAACTCTAGCAATGTGTTTTCGAATCTCTTCAGGTCAGGTGTTGCTGATGAGCTGAGCTTCCGTGTGCGGAAGTTGGACGTGGTATGCAGCAGGGTTTCCGATGCCCGGGTCCAACTTGTAGATTCGAGGTTTTCATGCTGGCCATTGTCCAGATGGATCCTGACATGAGATCGCCATCGGGCTTGTGAGGCACTGAAGCTCGTAGACGACCTGCTCGAACTGCGTGAATGCGCGGACCAGGTGCCATCTTCAGTTGTTGTGCATTGTGAGTTAGTCCAAGAATGATACGGTTTAGCAAGCCCTCTATGCGATTCAGGAAACTGCACCTCCACAATTTGTCATGCGTGTCCAGACCCTTTTGCAAGCAAACGCGCCACCGGACACGAACGGCGTTTCGCCATGTGTTGCGCTGTTAGGAGCACCAAGTTTCAACATTTTCATACGCACAGGCTTTCTCGTTGATTGGCCCGCGTCCACACTGCCTCTAAAACTGGGTACTCCCTGCTTGTCAGCTTTTCGGTTAAGCACACCGGAGGCTGTCTAAATCGGAAAACAAGACCATGAATCACACAGCCATGGTTCAGAAAACAACAAGGAACGAATCAGAAAACAGCGAGGGGTGAATCAGCATGCATGGACAGCCATGCATTCACATCGGTCTCTCACTGACGGGCCATCGCCGTAGCCTGGAGTGGGCGAGCAAGGACCTAACCTAACCTGACCTAACCTAACCTAGCGGAACATACCCTAACCTAATCAGGCCCCTAACCTAACCTAATCTATCCTAACCAAAGCTAACCTGACCTAAGCTAACAAGATAGGGTTTAAGGGTGTGCGTTTAGGGTTTAGGTTTAGGGATCTCCCCCAAGACACATTTATTGAAGATAGGTCTACTAAGTACCCCCTATAATAGGCGTCGATAGACCCCTATACAAACCCCTATGGTAACAAATTTATCACTTGCGCTTGAGCAGCAAGGTTTGCTTTATTTAAGTAAGGGCTGTTTAGGGTTTAGGGTTTAGGGGTTTTCAGAGTTTAGGGTTTAGGGCGTTTTGGGTGTAGGTCTTGGGGTGTTTTAGGGTTGAGGGGTTGGGGGGTTTTTAGGGTTTAGTTTTTTTTCGGTTTAGGGCTCAGGTTTTGTTTTGGGTTGAGGGTTTGAGGCTTTAGGGGGTTGTTAGGATGTAGGGTTTAGGGTTTTTAAGGCTTTAGGGTTGAGGTTTTTGTAGGGTATTTTTTGGGTTTAGAGTTTAGGGGTTTTTAGGGTTTAGGGTGTTTTTGGTTTAGGCCTCAGGGTTGTTAGGCTTTAGGGGCTTTTAGGGTTTAGGGTTTAGAGTTTAGGGGCTTTTGGGGTTTAGGGCTTCGGGGTTTTTAGGGTTTAGGGGTCTTTAGGGCTTAAGGGCTTTTAGGGTTTAGGATTTTTTGGGGTTTAGGGTTTAGGGCTTTTTCGCCGCCCCTTCCATTTGCAAACGCAACACTCGCATGATGGGTTCGAAAAAGAATAAAGTGCGGGGGTTGGAGGGCGGGGCGCAGCCCCCCCGCATTTGCAAACACAATGCTCGCGTGATGGGTTTGAAAAAAACACCCCTATTAGGGGTTTTAGGGTTTAGGGGTTACGGTTTTTACGGTTTGATTTTTTAGGGTTTAGGGCTTAGTTGTTTGTAGGGTTTAGAGAAGTTGAGGGGTTTAGGGTGTAGGGTTTTTTGGCTCAGGGGTTCTTAGGGTGTAGGGCTTAGGGCTTTTGGGGTTCAGGGGTTTTTAGGGTTTAGGGTTTAGAGATGTATAGGGTTTAGGGTTTTTTTGGGTTTAGGGTTTTTTGGGGCTTTGGGGTTCTTAGGGTTTCCCCTTCCATTTGCAAACACAACTCGCATGATGGGTTCGAAAAAGAATAAAGCGGGGGGGTTGGAGGGGGGTTGGGGGGGGGGGAGTTGGGGGGGGCGCAGCCCCCCCCATTTGCAAACACAATGCTCGCATGATGAGTTTGAAAAAAACACGCCTATGTTTAGGGGTTTTTGGAGGTTTAGGATTTAGGGTCTTTCACGGTTTGGGTTTTTTTTGGGGGTTTTAGGGTTTAGGGTTTTTTGGGTTTAGGGCTCAGGGTTCTTAGGGTGTAGGGCTTCTGGGGTAAAAAAAGAACAAACATGGCGCCCACTGTTGCTGACTGATTCGTGCCTTGGTGTTTTCTGATTTGCACCGCCCTGTTTTCTGATTTGCCCTCACATTTGCTGAGTTATGCTTGGCTGATTTGCCTGTTACCCTAAGCACACCTATTTGTACAGGCAAATCTCTGAAGAGAGAGTGTGATAGTCAAGTCGGGAAAAGTACACCGACCCGAGTCGAAAGCACATGGTACCCTTGAGTCGAAACCAGCCCGGACCCACACGCTGAAAACACATGCAGCAAACCTGAGTCGAAAACAACCTGGGTTTAGGGTTTTTGGGTTTAGAGTTGAGGGTTTTTTTCGGTGTTTAGGGCTCACGGGTTGTTAGGCTTTAGGGGTTTTTGAGGGTTTAGGGTTTCGGGCATTTTAGGGTGTAGGGTTTAGGGGTTTCAGGGTTTAGGGTTTTGTATTTTGAGGGCTCAGTGGTTTTGAAAGCGGGACGGTCGGGGGGTGCAGCCCTCCCCCCCCCCCTCCTCCCATTTGCATGCATGATGGGTTCGAAAAAGGATAAGGGGGCGGGGGGTGCAAACATAATGGCTAGGAAAAAATGCCTCGCGGCTTAACAAGCGGGGGGGTTGGGGTTGGGGCAGCCCCCTCTGCAAACACAACACTCGCATGATGGGTCGAAAAAATAGTTCGAAAAAAGTAATGCGGGGGGGGGGGGGGGGTGGGGGGGATTGGGGGGGGCAGCCCCCCCCCCCCCCCCCCCAAATGCAAACACAATGCTCCTGAAGCAAGCTTGCACGGCTTAACAAGCGGGGGGGTTTGGGGGCGGGCGCAGTCCCTCCCCATTTGCAAACACAAAGCTCGGATGATGGGTTCGGCAAAGACTCATGTGTGCTTTTGAAACAAGCTTGCAGAATGTAGGGTTTAGGGTTCAGGAGTTGTTGTGGTTGAAGGCTTATGGGTTTCTTCGGGGTTTCGATTTTAGGGGTTGTTCGGGTGCACGGATTTCTCGCTTTAGGGCTTAGGGTCCAGGGGGCTTTCTTTATGGGTTTGTTGAGGTTTCAGGTTTGGTGTTTTTTGACGTTTAGGCTTAGGGGTCTGAGGGTTCAGGGTTTAGGGGTGTCAGGGTTCGAGGTTTTGGGGTTTTTGGGATTGATCTTTTTTCGGTTTAGGGGCTAGGGGCTTTTAGGGCTAGGGTTTAGGGGTTTTAGGGTTTTGGGTTTAGAGTTTTTTTCGGGTGTATGGTTTAGGCGTTTGTGGTGTTTAGGGTTGAGGGGTCTTTACTGTAGGGTTTAGGGTTTAGGGTCTCGCATGATGGGTTTGAAAATACTTTTTAAGGCAAGCTTGCACGGCTTTCAAAAAGCAGGGGGGTTAGAGGGGTGACAACCCCCCCACTTTTCCTCTTCACAAACACAATGCTCGCATGATAGGTTTTTTTAGCAAACTCATCTAGCTTGAAGCAAGTTTGCTCGGAACCTCGAGACGTTTGAACCTATACGTTTCGTTGTAGATGTTAACCTTTGTGTGCATAGGGTGGTTTTCTGACTCAGCCTTTGGTTGTCAGAGTCTGACTCGTGTGTGCTCGGTTTTCCGACTCGCGCCTTTCCGCTTTCTGACTCGGTCCTCCGGTTTTCTGACTTGGTCCTGCGCGTTTTCGACTTGTTCTCCCAACTCGACGGTCACCCAGGGGACACCAAGAGATCAGCTTTGAAAGGGCAGGTTTTTCCAACATTAAGGGGAGACCCAAACCACCGGAGATCCGGCAGGCCTATCTCCAGGAAGACAAGGGGAGGAAAGCTATTCCTATTGTTATAATTAGCTGCAAATAGCTACTGAACTCGCAACATACGATAGTTATGGTGGGGTGCGGTGCTATGTTGAGCGTGCGGCTCCCCTGGTGTCACTACTTCCAGAAAAGATGCTCTCTCAGAACAGAAGTGAAAGGACTTTCACCAGGATAAAGAAGTGAAAACATGTCCTCCTCGTACTTCTCGTGCACCTGGGAATGCGAATGGAGCTTCCATGCGGCGCTTTGATGTGCAAAGGTGATGAAGGCCATCACGACCGAGGATTTCGAACAAGCTGCCAGATTTGCTCAGTTCTCGGTCCACTTTGCAGCCATGAGCAGGGATTTCGTATCAGGATTCAGCAGCACTTGGTCAGGTCGCCCGCTTCAGGGCATCCCAAGACAGTTTGCCGCCAGCCGACACAGAATGGAGCCGCGGCAACTCTCAAGTAGCTCATGTCCGACGTCTGACTGCAGCAATGAGGCCAGGCACTGATGATGCGACCGTCCGCACACTGCTGTCTTCTCAGAGCTTCGTGCAGTGTCATGCAGTTGTCTAGCAATCAATTGCACAAAGATGTGGGGCAGCTTCCACTTGGATTAACGCTTCAAAAAGAAAGATGAGGATCGACCTTTATCTCTTGAAATCTGCACACAGAGGCCATTCGTATACCCCTCGAAACAGCGGCTGGCTTTAGATGGATTGAATATGAACATGGGCACGTATCTGCCTTCAAGAGTCCCTTGAGCAACCATCATGCTTCCGCTACTAGGTATACAATCAGAAGCAGGAATGATGAAAGGATTCCTCTGGGCCCATCAAGCTGCTGCCGTTCAAACTGATCCCGTCCACACCACGACAGCAAAAGCAAATGGCCTGCCGCGCGGCCAAGAACAGAAATTTAAAGTGAGCAAGATCTATGAGCAAACTCGCAGAAGAGGTTTTCCTGACAAATATGGAGCCCCCTCACCCATGAACAACAGGTAGATGTTTTCCAATGAAAATGATAGAAGTAACCGAGGTTTTCGTGGTTTCGCAATTAGGGTGGAGTATTATTGAAACCCTTATGTAAATATTGAATTTCAATAAGGGCGGAACTAAGAACTAAGAACTTTAAGACTGCCAGGGACTCTCGGTCTGAGTTCTTAGTTCCTAGTACCGCCCTTATTGAAGTTCAATATGTCAATAAGAGTTTCAATAAGAGGTGACCCAGGAACTAAGAATCCGTACCGAGAGTCCCTCCTGGTCTTAGTTCTTAGTTCTTAGTTCTTAGTTCTTAGTTCTTAGTTCTTAGTTCCAGCCTTATTGAATTAGTCACTATTTCAATAAGGGTTTCAATAAGAGGTAACCCAAGAACTAAGAATCCAGCCCAAGAGTGTCTGACAATCGTAGTTCTTAGTTCTTAGTTCCACCCTTATTGACATTCAATATTTCAATAAGGGTTTCAATAAGAGGTAACCTTCAATCTTTGAACCAAGACGGCAGAAAGGATTGCCCTCCCTCCCCCTCCTGTCCGCTCCGCTCCGCTGCGCTCTCTGGTTGTTTTTTAAAGGCTTGTTCAAGGCTTATCTAAGGGACTAGGGTGTGAAAGAGAAGGCCCGAAAACTCTATAGGGTTTAAGGCTTTAATCCCTAAGCCTTATAGCCTGTAGGGTTTAGGCTCAAACCTTAAACCCTAATTCTTTAAAACCCTAATTCTTTAATCATACATAGGGTTTCAAGGTTAAGCTTTTGGACTTAAATCCTTATTCGTAACCCTTTCAACCCCATAGTGAAGGTTTAAAGGTTTAAGGTGTAAGGTCTAGGCATTTGAAACTAAGCCGGCAAGTAAACCTACACCCTTAACCTTGAAGCCCTGGGGTTAAGGGGCTTAAGGTTTAGAGGTTAAGGGTTTCAGATTTCAGCAGTCAAACCTAAGGGCCATGGAGTTTAAACCTGAAGTGTTTAAGGCTGAGGCGGTTCAGAACCCGAAAACCCCGTAGGGCTCTAAAAGGTTCAAAGGTGTTAAGCCTGTAGGCGCTGATGGTATACTTGCCCAGACCTTAGGTTGTCAAACCATTTAGCCCTATACTATAGGCTGGGCGAAAGGTTTAGGGCTTGTCGGGGTGTATCTCTAAAACCCTCACGGGCTTAGCCCTCTAGGGTGTAGATTCTACAGGGTCAAAGGTCACAGGCACTGCCCTATAATTAGAACTTATAAACACCTGGATCTTTGAGGGGGGGGCGAGTGCCACAAGTACTACTAGTACTACTAGTACTACTAGTGCTACTAGGGCTACTAGTGCTACTAGTATTACTAGTACAACAAGTACTACAAGTACTACTAGTACTACTAGTACTACTAGTATTGCTAGTACTACTTGTACTATTAGTACTACTAGTACTACTAGTACTACTAGTACTACTAGTACTACTAGTACTACTAGTACTACTAGTACTACGAGTACTACGAGTACTACTAGTACTACTAGTGCTGCTAGTACTGCTAGTACTGCTAGTACTACTAGTACTGTAGTACTACTAGTACTACTTGTACTACTAGTACTGCTAGTACTTCTAGTACTACTAGTACTACTAGTACTACTAGTACTATTAGTACTACTAGTACTACTAGTACTACTAGTACTACTAGTACTACTAGTACTACTAGTACTACTAGTACATTAGTATTACTAGTACTACGAGTATTACTAGTACTACTAGTACTACTAGTACTACTAGTATACCAGTACTACTAGTACTACTAGTACTACTAGGACTACTAGTACTACTAGTACTACTAGTACTACTAGTACTACTAGTACTACTAGTACTACTAGTACTATTAGTACTACTAGTACTACTAGTACTACTAGTACTACTAGTACTACTAGTACTACTAGTACTACTAGTACTACTAGTACTACTAGTACGACTAGTACTACTAGTACTACTAGTACTATTAGTACTTAGTACCAGTGGTACTACTCGTACTTGTGAGCAGGTCTAAGCACGCACGTTCCATGTGCAGAGCTGCCAGAACCAGTACTGTAGTTTTCCTTTGCATGTGTAGATTTGCAATTCGTATCAATGCCAATATTTTGGCTCAAGTACCGAGCTTGTGCCTTTGAGCACGGTAGAGTCGTACAGTAGCTCCTAGGTTGCTGTGCGGTCCGACCGGACGCACTCAGGCGTAGCTGCACAAGTGCTTGGACTCACGAAGTCGTAAAACAGCGTGACCGGGCTGTGATTGCATTGGCTTAGTGCAAGTCCAGTGCTGGTCGACTTCACAATTGGGGGCTGTTCTGGGAAACGTACAGCTCTTGTGCCTACGGCCCGAGTGGGCAAGCATTGCTTTGCTTGTCTGTCGCGGTCCGTGACCTGGACGCGTGGACTGTGTGCCACGCTTGCGGCCTGTTAACCAAGGCGCGGCGCTTCGCGTGCCACGCCTGCGGCCTGCTAACCAAGGCGCGGCTTTTCGCCTTGTGTTGCGGCAATGTCCGCAGAGGTTGCAGGTCAGGCTGAGGGCGTCACCCTCCTCGAAGCTATCGAGGGTGGAGACGTTCCCTATCCCGAGCGGATGAGCTACGTCGCTTGGCTTAAGTGGCGTAGGGAGACTGGCAGCCGTCCATTGTCCAAGCGGGATGGGGTCAGCACTACGCCAGAGCAAGAGGCGGCTCTCTGGCGGAAAGTCATGAAGTTCCTCCATGACGCCGAAGAGGAGGACGAGGATGAAGAGGAAGAAGAAGAGGACTCCGAGCTAGTCCCTGAGGCCTCGGGCGCTGGAGGCGACAGTCCGCCGCGGGTGGACGTCAGCGCCGCGGCTAGGGAGCTGGCCATGGTCCCTACCGGTGCTGCCTATGTCCCTGCTACGGCACCAGGGTCCCGCCCGGCGGGACCGTCCGGTCCGCCGTCGACAGCAGGTTCAGTGCCAGGCACCGCAGAGGGCTTGCAGGCGGAGCTGCGCGCGATTTTCCGTCCAGACCAAGAACCGGTCGCGGACTACTTGACGCGCGTTTCGCGGATTGTCCTCGCGCTGAAAGCGCATGGAGTCACGGTGAGCTCCCGTGACCTTGACGCCTTAAGCACCAAAGCCACCCTCCTTGCGGATGAGTTCTCCAAGATAGGCGGGGACTGGCATCCTACGAAGATGGTCCGTCGGCTGCGGACCAGGTTCTCGGTCGCGGCTTTGCGCGGTGGCGAGGACCCCGAAGACGCAGAGGAGATTCAGCGCGAAATCCAATGCATCGGGGAGCTTATCCTCGCGTTAGGGGGAAAAGAAAGCTCGAGCCAAGAGAAGGTTTGGAGCTCCCCGTCCGATGTGCCAGTTGAAGCCGTGGGGCCGCGTTCCCCAGGGCTCCCACAGCCTGCGACTGCGAGTGGGTTGGGGGTAGGATTGGACCGTGGAGGTTTGCACACTGCTGAGGTTGCAGGTGGTCCTTCCGCGGCCCGTGTCCTGGGCGCGCCGGACGGCGATTCCCCTTTGCGCGCGAAGCTTGCTGCGCTAGAGATGGAGATAGAAGCCCTGAAGCGAGGTTCAGACGGCGGAGGTTCGCAGACCGGGTCCCAACACCCGGCGGGCGATCTCGCCGCCGCACTCGCCGCCCAAACTGAGGCGCTGAAAGAAGCGTTAGCGCAGAGGGGCGGGCAAAGCTCCATAACTACGGTCAAAACTGACCTCACGTGGCCGACGCTGACCGACGACAAGTCGGACGCGCGAGACGTTGTCCTGTTCTACGAGGAGTTCGAGGACGTCTGCGCGCTGGCCAACAACTGTCGCGGTATGAGTGCGCGCGAAAAGCTGTTAGCGCTACGCGGGCGCTGCCGCGGCTCGCGCATGAAGACGTACACGAACGCGTACCGCGCAGCGTGGAAATCGGGAGAGGTTCTCTCAGATCCACAGGCGGTGTATGACCGCATCAAGAACAAACACTTGATGTTCGGGGAATCGCGGGAGGAAAGAGAAGTCCGCGTGGATGGTGAGCACGCCTCTCTCGCTAAGGGTAAGCTCACAGGCCACCAATTCGAGCCTTTGTTTGAGGCCTCGATCGCGGACCTTGAGGCAGTAGGTCTCGGGAAGACCCCTCGAGAGTTGTATCTCTCATACCTCCGCAAGATGCCCCCTTATCTCCAAAAGGAGATCCGGAACGACAAAAGGTTGTGGCCTGGCGACCCCAAGGATGGCGGGTTGCGAGGACCGCAGACTTGGGAGGAGAGCCACAAAGTCGTTCTGGAGTACGAGCAGAGAGAAGCAGCGCACAGGGCTGTTTCCCACTCTGTGTACACGGCCACCGGTTCGCAGAGCGCGGACCCGGCGGTCGCGCTGGCTGAGGCTCAGAAGGAGATTAAGAGTCTCAAGGCCGCTGCGAAGGCTGCTGCGAAAGGAGCAGCTGCCGCGGCCAAAGCTGGCGCGGACCAGACGTATGCTGCTACGTCGAAGGGAGCTGGCAAAGGAGCGGACAAGAAGATCTGCTTCCACTTTCGCGATCATGGGAATTGCCCGAAAGGGGATGCCTGCCCGTACAGCCACGACAAGGA